CTTGAGACGATTGAATGTCCGATAATATGATAAACCTGCAGCGAACAACAGCTCCGAACTCCATTGCTTGATCTCAAGATAGCTCTATTAAATCTCTTGATGGTATAACAGGACATTGGCAGGAATTCCTGATGACAGAGGAAATTATGGCAGACATTCTTGATGGTATATTAAATCTTGGTTTGATGGGTACTTTTCTGAAGAAACTATTGAGTCCCAGGTATTGTGATTCTCGCAAATATTTTCCAATGCTTGCATATGCCAGTGCCTGATTCCGAGTCCAATCACTGTGTATGTGAAAGTAATGTTTGTATCCATTCAGGTGGATCAACTTATTTTTCACGTCAGGTTTTAGGTGTTTCCCAGCTAGGCAGCTATTTCTTCTTCAGAAGACCACACCGCGGGCATTATCTTAAGTGGACCATTGACCTGCAATTTTTGCCTTTCGCATGTACAGGCTTATTATGTGTGGATTTTGAAAGCTATTTCTACATATTCTATCTCCTTTGAGACTAAACTGTGTAGTTGCTCTGCATCAGTTCACCTGCTCAATAATTGTGCTAGAGGAGTTAGTCATAGTATGTCTAGAAATCCCTTGGAGCACCACTCTAGGTAACATTGTTATGTTGTCTTTGCTAGAAAACTGTATATGTAGTCTAGAATTGGGTGTACATGTTGGTTCAGCCCATGGACGTTTTCTTTGAGATTCACTTATGGACCTTGCAGTAATGTACTCCCTCGGTAAACAAATATAAGACATTTTAGGTCACTAAAGTAGTTACCTGAAATATCTTATATTAGTTTATAGAGGGAGTATTAATTTTTGTCTTGATGCATTTTAAATTAAACTAAAAAGTGTCTATCTGAATTTTGAGCTGAATCTGAACCATGGTTTGCATTCAGCTATATTTCTAAAACATTGCACAAAGTCCTGTATTTAGGATGCCAAGTTTCTTCTCTCCTGTAGGAAATTTTGGCCCTATATATTCTAAATTTTTGTCATATTCAGTTTTAATGGTCGGAAAGAAACAATGTTATTTTTTATTATCAAATGGAGTCAAGTTGCTAATCTGTAATTTACAAAGACGTAAGGAAGTGTTATTTTTGTGTGTTGTTGCTTATGCCTTTTATATTTAGAGGATATTATGGGCTTATGTCCAGTAATGGTAATAGAGTTGTTCCCACTATAGATTTCCATTGTGTATTAGAAAAGGTATGCACCTGGAATTATAGTCCTTGCCCAGCTGTAAGATTTTTATATGTAGTTTATTTTTTTCACTAGAGATATTTAGTTTGTTTATGACAACTAGAGAAGGATGATGAGGCAGACGAACAACTGAAATATTGATTAATTGTAATGATGAATGCATTTACATTTATGAGTTTTTCCACCACTTTTCGACTATCTCTAATAATGATGGTTAGTCTATTTTCACTTCTTGATTTTACCTACTAAATTGATTTTTGGTCTACAGTTCGGTACCTATAGCTTTCCCCAATACCAAAAGTCAACAGTCATACTTAAATAACCATTCACAACCCTTTCTTTAATCCTTATGCTTTTTTTCTATTCTACTTGGAACAGAGGAAAATGCCCTTATGGAGCTTTTGAGCTTTTTGTACAGTGGAAAGTTAACAAACAACCGAGCCTGCTATTCTGGTTGACATCTTAATGGATGCCGATAAATTTGAGGTTCTCTCTTGCATGAGGCATTGTAGCCAGTTGCTCTCAAGCTTTCATATGACCACAGAATCTGCGCTGCTCTACCTAGACTATCCATGATTCACTTCGATGGCAGTTGAAGTTCACCATTTGATAGTTGCAGCTAAGGATTTCCTTGCCAACAAATACAGTGATATGAATAAGTGTGTGATCCCCATTGGATGGAGCCACCTTTTCTTTCCTTTTCATACAGAAGTGTACACATTGTTGAAACAAAATCATGTATGAAGTGTACTCAAGGCTTGGTTTGTATTATTTCAGGTTCCGAAATGAAGTGATGAACATGCCACTTGCTGGGATTGAAGCCATATTTTCAAGCACTGACCTACATGTGAAAAAATGAAGATGTCTTGTACCGTCTGTTGCTCAACTGGGCCCGTGTGCAATACCAGAATTAGAAGAAAGACGTAAGATCTTGAGTTCTCATTTGGTTCCGCTGGTGCGCTTCAGTCATATGACTTGTGAGGCACTTCAGGAGATTTTCACATGCACTGACGATGACATAGACCATGATCAAGGCTTATCACTAGGGTACTTATGTGCAAAGCTTATCCAGCACACTAACCAGGCCAGGTGCTCTTGCAGCATGTGCAACCTCTTGTTTGCTATATGCAGAGCTAGCTTACAAGTACATGCATCTGAAAGTGGTTCTGTTTAAGACCGCAACGAGATGGAGGCGGTGGTCTTGACACCCATGCTGGAGACCATCTGGTGGTACGATTGCTATCAAATGCAGCTTGGTTTGTGTGTGCATCTCCTAGCTTTTGTGTCCGCGTGTAGTGTTATTGGTTAATTATGTTGTGTCCTTACTGATCTCAAGTCTCAATAGTATGTGAATGGGTGTAATCAGAACAAACATGTTTATCTTATTTGTGGTAGGAAATGGTGTATATTTCTTTTGTCTTAGGAGCCAGGCTGATGGGTCTGCTTGAAATTCCTCGGGTGGAGAAAACACAACCTGAAGAGCTTTGCTTTTGATCAAATGGCTATGACTGGAGCTTCAGAATAAGTAGCTGTTTAGAAAGGTGTCAATGGATTTACCGAGGAAACAGTCACGTTGTAGGTAAGTAATAAAGTTTACTGAGGAAACAGTCATGTAAATAAATCGATGTCCTACACATAAAAAAATACAGTGTCCCGAGGGATTTCTTGGGTTTAATACCAGTAAGATTTTACACAAGAAATCACAGGCTCTATAAATGATTTCACTTGCTGCAGTCAAACAAGTGGATGGATGGTATCCACAAATATTCTAGCCACTGTAAATAAATCCGACACTATTTTAGCCCATCATCGAGCAAGATATTTTTGAACCCTGGTTTAATGCAGCCGCTACTAATCTATCTTCCAGGCAGCACACCAAAGAACCATATTCTCAATTTGCACAGTAGTGTGCTTTAACATATTAGATAATCACGTGTGAGGTTTTGTTTCTCCCGTTGCAACGCACGGGCAATTTTCCTAGTTAAATAAAATAGCAGATTTATTCCAGTTGGGAGTCTGACCAGAGATAGCACAAAACTGATTAATTATGCGAGCAATTGTATTAGCATCACCATTATCATGCACAAAACTGATCTCCAGCGACTTGCAATCATTACAACCAACGAACTACGCTTTCAAGGCAAGCTTGGCGATGAGCTCGTTCAGAACAGAGGGGTCAGTTGCAGACATGCGCTGCCAGTCGCTGGTCGCCATGACTCCTTCCAAGATTGCAGCAGATTGTACTTTGAGGAACTCCAGGCAGGCCTCCTTAAGTCCGCGGCAATGGTGCTGTGCTACCAGACCAAGGATGGCCGTCACCGAGCTGAAATCTATGTGCTCCGACAGCCTCTCTTCACACATTGACTTGAGCCGCTGGAGATCAAACCTATCCGCCGCAATAAGCAAGTGTCGCAGCCAAGTAACCTCATCGGTTCCACCTTCTTCTGCTTCTGCTTCTCCTCCCACCTTCATCATCTTGGGCATCAAGTCGGTGTAGATGAAACCAAGTAAAGCGTTGAACACGTTGGGTTCCATGTCTTGTATCTGTATGGCACCTGCCGTGATCCCCTCCTTCATGGGGCCGAAGAGCTCCGCCATGAAGACGGTGGAACGGGCCGCGAGAATGTTTCGGTGAGCAGCAAAACTCTCTTGGCTGACCTCGAACATCACATCGGCGCCAACCTTGGTCGCAAAGAGATGGTTCAGATGTTCGCATAAGTTAGATGGCGGCACCTCAATGAAGGCAGTAGCAGCGGCTTCAGCGATGATAAAGTCGCACCGGATGGCGAAACAATCATCCTTGAGATGCTCCGACTTGTCAAGGTCCTCTTTTGTCATGAATCGACTTCGACCCCAGCCATCGTTGTTTTCACAGAAGTCACGTGCTTTGCTTGCACGGATGCGTGTAGGTGCACTAGATGCTCCCTGGGGCTGGGGGCAGTGCAAAACAACACCTACAGCTCATTCTAGTGGCACTACACCCCTGTCTGCTCCAGGCATATCCATTTATGCATGAGGCCTTGTTCGGTTAAGCCACTCCTCAAGTGGATTGGAGTGGAATGGAGGGGATTTGGAGAAAATTTGAACTAGATGGGATTTAATCCTTGCCAATCCCTGTCAATCCCTCTCATTTTTCATGGAACCGAACAAGGCCTTACTGGGTTCATAAATAACCATTCAAATTAACTTCGTGCTTTTGACATAACGACGCGAAAAGGTGGCTGCCAGGTGTGGCAATTCCATTTTACTTGGACGTCAACCGGTGAAGAGGAGCAATAAATTTACTGCGATTGCACAGATAAAAAACTTCCGAAGCACTGACTAGCTGAATCTCAAATCAAATTAAACGTACCTCACAACTAGCACAAGGTAGCAATTTGAGCCCAAAAAAAGAGACCACCATGCCAATTCATCGCAAAAAAAGAAAGAAAACAAGGGAAACTACCATGACAAAGATGCAGATAAGCAGTGATGCATTTTAAGATCTTTCATAGGCACAGCAAAAACCACCTTACTAATTGTAAACTACCATAGCAGTGGTAGCCACCACAATAAGTTTAGGCAGGCACTGATTAATAGCACTTAACAGAGTAACAAAGTTCAGAAAAATACATGTACTACTAATGCATTTCATGGCTTGTAGGGAAACCACTGAACACTATACCAACCACCATACATACGACCGTCAGATAGATAACCTAGAGCTGGTTGCAGAATAACCCCGGAACAACACCAACATATAAATAACCTGCAGAGAGCAGCTGCATATAAATAATGCTATGACACATTCTCATCAGTCCTGAGGGAAGAGCCATGCAGCCGGACGCTTCTCATCACAACGCTTCCAGAAAATAAATGGATGAGCGGAATACACATCGTTAGATCTCATCTCAAAGAAGCAGAAAGAGGTGTTCTCCCCGTCGTATCGGTAATCCATACGATTCTCCTCCTCATCATCCAGGAAGAAGATACAATCACCCGACAATCCGCACAGAGACACAGACATGGCCCTGGAGCACCTTCGCCCTAGAAACAACACTTGGTCAGCCCCCACAGTTGACACCTTGACCCACCGTGAATGCTCAAAGTCAGCCTTGAAAACCTCAAACCGTCCAGCAACAACTTCGCCGCACACTCCAGTGTTGGTATTGATCTAGAGGCCCAATGAGCCAAAACGAAAATAAAAGACCAGAAATAAAGTTACGTTAAAGAGAGAAACAGGGAGACCATGAACCAACGTTCGTACCCCTCGATCTCAACTTACGCGCCCTGATCGGGGGCACCCTAACCAACTATGGTTTTGGTCCCCCGTCGTGCAGCGCTCCCCCAGATTGGTTAGGGTTTAGGGATGTAGGGAGCAGGAGTAAACCGTACGAGAACTAGTCTAGCGTAGGTGCCGGCTGCTCCCCCATCTTTTTATGTGCGCTGGCGACAGGGGACCAAAACCATAGTTGGTTAGGGTGCCCCCGATCAGGGTGCGTAAGTTGAGATCGAGGGGTACGAACGTTGGTTCGTGGCCTCCTTGTTTCTCTCTTTAACGTAACTTTATTTCTGGTCTTTTATTTTCGTTTTGGCCCATTGGGCCTCTAGATCAATACCAACATTCTCCCCCTTGATCGTTAGGCTCAATGATTTTTGTCCATTCTCCATAGGAATAATATACCAGAGTAAGGTGTTACAACAGCCGATGAAAAGCCATTGAACCTCAATATTCATAGCACACATCCTATTTCAAAAAGGAAACATTTTTCTTATTGGGAGTGGTTTATATTAGCGGTCCCATAATTCCAGAATCAAGAGGCTTCCAATAATCCCATGCCGGCTACATGCTCACGAAATATATTGGGTGGTAAGCCTTTAGTAAGCGGATCCGCAAGCATACGTGTCGTACTGATATGCTTAACATTAATAGTTTGATCCTGGATTATATGTTGAACAACATGGTACTTTAGGTCAATGTGCCTGGCAGCAGCACTTGACTTGTTGTTATTCGCATAGAAAACTGCGGGTTCATTATCGCAGTACAATGTTAGTGGTTTGGAAATGCTGTCAACCACTTTAAGTCCGGAAATGAAATTCTTTAGGAATACAGCCTGCCCGGTGGCCTCAAAATATGCTAGATATTCTGCCATCACCGTAGATGAGGCAACTATCTTTTGCTTGGAGCTTTTCCCTGATATGGCTCCTCCAGCGAGTGTAAATATATAACCTGACGTGGATTTCATACTATCCACACACCCGGCAAGATCAGAGTCTGAATAACCAATAACTTACAGGTTATCGGACTTTCTATATGTAAGCATGAAATTTTTAGTACCTTGCATATAACGCAAGACTTTCTTTGCGGCCTTCCAGTGGTCCGGTCCTGGATTAGATTGAAATCTGCCAAGCATCCCGGTTACAAAAGCTAAGTCAGGGTGTGTATATACTTGAGCATACATGATGCTTCCGACAGCTGAAGCATAAGGAACCGACTTCATCTGATCAGTTTTATTTTGGTTCCTCGGACATTGGAAAGTCCCAAACTTATCGCCCTTAACTATGGGGGCAGGTGATGAAGAGCACTTATGCATATTGAATTTCTTTAGTACTCTCTCAAAGTATGCCTTTTGCGATAGTCCTAATGTTCCTTTGGACCTATCTCGATGAATCTCGATGCCAAGGACATACGAGGCTTCACCGAGATCCTTCATGTCAAATTTTGAGGACAGAAATCTCTTGGTCTCATGCAACATATCTTTATCGCTGCAAACCAATAGAATATCATCCACATATAGGACTAAAAATGTGAACCTACTGCCTTTAAATTTAACATATATGCAGTTGTCCACTTCATTCTCTTTAAAACCAAAAGTTCTAATAATCTCGTCGAACTTGAGGTACCACTGCCTTGAAGCTTGCCTCAAGCCATATATGGATTTCTTTAAACGACATGCCATGTGTTCTTTTCCTTCCACGACAAAACCTTCAGGTTGAGTCATGTAAACTTCTTCTTTTAAGTCACCATTCAGAAATGCCATCTTGACATCCATTTGATGCAGCTCCAAATCATAATGAGCTACAAGTGCCATGACAATTCTGAAAGAATCTTTGGATGACACAAGCGAGAAGGTCTCCTTATAATCGATTCCTTCTCTCTGTGTAAAACCTTTTGCTACAAGTCTCGCTTTGAACCTTTCGACGTTCCCTTTGGAATCATATTTGGTTTTGTAGACCCACTTGCAGCCTACCCTTTTGGCTCCATCAGGAACTTCTACTAAATCCCAAACATCATTCGAGCTCATAGATTTCAATTCGTCTTCCATGGCTACCAACCATTTGGACGAGTCTTCACTTTTAGTGGCTTCTTTATATGAGGTCGGATCTTGTGCCTTCCCTATGTCATTTTCATCCTCACACATGAAAGTGACATAATCGCTAGAGATGGCCTTTTTCTTTTCCCGTTGTGATCTTCTCATAGGCTCATTAGTATGTGCATTTTCTCTTGCCCGAGAAGGTTGTCGATTATCATTGGGTTGAGGATCATCATTTGGCTGAGGATCCTCATCATGCTGAGGATCTTCATTATGCTGAGGCTCCTCATCAGATTGAGGATCCACTTCAGGTTCGGGATCACCAGTAGGTGTCTCATGCATATTAGGCATAGGGATAAAGTTCTGTTGGATAGTCGGGGATGGAACGTACACCCGCTTCTCCTCAAGATCAATCGCCCTAACCTCAGTGACTTCATTATCCTCACAAAACACCGCTTGCCTGGTTTCCACAAACTTGGTGGTATGACCTGGGCAATAAAAGCGATATCCTTTTCCTCTATGAGGGTACCCAATGAAAAAACAACTGACTGTCTTTGGGTCCAATTTCTTAATATGTGGATTGAATACTTTAGCTTCAGTCGGGCAGCCCCACACTCGCAAGTAATTCAAGCTCGGTTTCTTTCCCACCCACATCTCATAAGGTGTGCTCGGTGCTGACTTAGTTGGAGCAAGATTTAGGATGTGTGCAGCTGTTTTCAATGCCTCCATCCAAAGGCTTACTAGTAAGTTCGCATGACTAAGCATGCTACGTACCATATCCATAAGAGTGCGATTGCAACGCTCAGCTACGCCATTTTGCCGAGGTTCACCAGACATTGAATATTGGGCAATTATTCCATTTTCAGCAAGATATTTTGCGAACGGTCCTGGAATTTGCCCATAAGGAGCATGCCTGCCATAATATTCTCCCCCGCGATCAGACCGTACTACTTTGATCTTTAGGTTGAGTTGATTTTCAACCTCGGCTTTATAAATCTTAAATTTGTCCAAAGCTTCGGATCGATCACGTATGGGGTAAATGTAGCCATAGCGAGAGAAATCGTCTGTGAAGGTAATGAAGGAATCAAAACCATCCATAGACTTTACGTTAAAAGGTCCGCATATGTCAGTATGAATAAGTTCAAGGACCGATGTGGCTCTTACTGCTCCTTTCTTAATTGTTTTCACATATTTTCCCTTAATACAACCAATACAATTGCCCGCATCAGAGAAATCTAGCGGATGAAGTATTTCTTCTTTAATCAATCGTTCCATTCTCCCCCTCGAAATGTGGCCCAAGCGACGATGCCACAATTTCGAAGAAGGATTGATACTTTTCCCATTCTTTTTATGATTGCGTTCATTCATATTCATCTCACAGAGATTCACACACATAGGATAACCGGAAAGATTTAACATATAAAGTTTGCCTCGTTGGACGGCGAGACCAACATCCTTATTACAATACTTTAAAAAACATTGTTTCTCCCCGAAGGTACAATGAAATCCAAAATCATCTAAACATGAAACTGAAATCAAATTCCTAATCAAAGTAGGCACATAAAGAATGTCCTTGAGCTGAAGTAGGAAACCAGTGTGCAACTTCAAGGTGAGGGAGCCCACGGCTTCAACTTCAGCCTCCTTCCCATTCGCGACATTAAGTCTTCTTGTTCCCTTTAGGGTGTGGCTTATATGGAATCCCTGCAAAGAATTTGCGACATGAACAGTCGCACCTGAGTCAATCCACCATGTAGATTCAGAAAAATCAACATATAGAGATTCATCTACACGAGTGATCTCATCCTTACCCTTTTTATTCAGCCACTTAAGAAAACCTGGACAATCCGCCTTGAAATGATTTGGCTGCTTGCAAAAATTGCAAAGTCTTTCTCCAGCGGCATTTGTAAGATTAACTGAAGTAGCCGCTGAAGGTGCGGGACGTGAACAACTTGCCTCGTTGCATTGCTTAGGCTGTGGAGGATTCTTTTTGGAATACTGCTTTTTGTTGGGCACATTATTGTTATGAGCATGGTTCTCATGCTTCCTCTTTGCAGAGTTAACATGGAGAGCTTGATCTTTCTGCTCACTCTTCATTCTCTCTTCCTCCTGAACGCAATGTGCAATGAGTTCAGATAGTTTCCATTTGGTTTCAAGAGAGTTATAGTTTATCTTGAATGGATTGAATTGTGAGGGTAGTGACCTAAAAACTAGGAGCACCAGAAGCTCTTCGTTCAAGTCACACTTCATGGTTTTAAGCTTTGCTGCGGCATTGCTCATACTTAAGATGTGCTCCCTCATATTTCCATGCCCGTCATATTTTGCAAGCAGCTTGTGCAAAAGCTCATCTGCATACACTTTCTCGGAGCCCTTAAATTGTTTCTCCACCGATTTCAAATATTCGGCGGCACTTTCATTGGCAGGAATAGCCCCTTTAATCTCAGTCGAGATGGAGAAGTTCATAATTAGGAGCGCCATTCTGTTTGACCTCTCCCACTTCTCAACTTTAGTATCATAATCTTTCTTAAGCTCAGCATACCCAGTGGCACCCTTTGCAGGTTCCACTGGTTTACTTTCCCTCAGTGCGAGGTCAACCTAATGCCATCCGAGGTGCAAAAGCAACGAGTCCTTCCACGATTGGAAGTTATTCCCAGTAAGTGGCTCGATCTCGAGGCCACGAGAACCGGAAGCTGTCATGTTTCGAAATATCATAAGTAAAGGAAAAGAACATCATAATTAAATTAAATTGCACAAAAATTAACCTACGTTGGTTTGATCAATTTTCATGCAAAAATTAACTCCAAATTATATCACCGTTGGGCAGAAAATAATAAGGAATTAACGAAATGATTCAAAAATGTAAAACAACGTTGGTCTGTATTACAAAAATGATCAAATTAATCTCATGTGTAATATCAATTTTCCAACATTAATAATTCTCCATTTATTGATATTACCATGGGATGAACATAAATGTGCCATAAAATGACACAAACATTAATTCATAAAAGTTTTCTAAATAAAATTTCTCGTTGGTTCCATTTCATTCAGAAAACTAAACCATAATTTTCAGAATCATTTTTCTGTCAATTTTCTATTTATAACAGTGCAAGAACATTTTGGGAATAATCATAATACGGAAACACACTGAATAAATAGAAAACGCACAGAAACTTCAATTTTAGCCCAAAACCCACGGCAGCTCTTTAAATCCTAGCCCAGTAAACAAAAAAAAACGCCTTTTCTGCGGGCTAAGACAACTCGGGCCGAAGCCCAGCCGCGAAGGCGGCCCGTATAATGCCCGAAGGCCTGCCCTGAGCCACCCGTCGCTCTCGGCCGTCCGATCGGGCCGATGGCCGCGATCATCCCGCACGGAGCAAAACGAGCGAGGGTCAAACCCTAGGGGCCAATTCCCCATTTCGTTCCCGCAATCGTCGGAACGGCGACGCACAACAACGGCCATGGCGGCGCGGTGGCTGCGTTCGACGGAGCAGCGTGCCGCGGACCGAGTCCGGCGCGCTCCTCCGGCGAGCGTGGCTGCGGGCGTCGCGAGTACGGCGTTTGGTGGCGCGAGCAGGCGGCGGCTGCGGGGCATTTCGCCAGCGGTCGCTGGCGCAAGCTTTCGGCGGCGACGACGGCGTGCAAGGCGCGGAGGCCAGGCGACGCGCGCGTGCGTGAGCGCAGCAGCGGCGGCTGCTGCTTCATTCCGCGCGCCACCCCGAAGGGCGGCGGCGTCCCGGCCATGGCGTGCGCGTACGGCGGCGGCCGTGCGGACCCCGAAAGCCGGCGTCATCTGGGTGAGCCCGTCACCTTTTTCTCTTAATTTCAACATTTTAACTCTGATTTTGGGATTTCGGAATGGGGAAAAAATTCTAGGGCTAGGGTTTCTCATAATTAGGGGAAAAAACGAGTGATTCATCTGATTCCCCTCCTTCTATATTCTTAACATGAAACAAAACCAGTGCTAATTAACCTTACTTGAAGCGGAAGCGTGATACAGGTAAACTAACATAACTTGTTGATAATCATAAAGGAACTAGCACTGATCCAGTAGCAGATTAGTCATTTAAACAGAAACCTCTTAACCCTAGGACTTGACTTAACAGAGGGCTAACCTTAATCATTAGGTCGTAATCATGATCATCAAACTTAAACAGATCATCTTAGGGATCTAATCTAGGCTTAACCATGCTAAGACACCATTGTTAGATTTATAATCCCGTAGGATCTACTTAACAGATCGTAAGCCAGGCATTAGATCACCTAATAGCACAGATCAGAGAGATGGATTAGGTTCTTACCACCAACGGAAGCAGCCATTGGTG